GGCCAAGGGAGCCATGTGGCCGGGTCATGTGGCCAGCATGACTAAGCCACTTCTGGCGAACCAGAGCAGTGCACGGAAATGCCGTTTACCTTCCTGCCGGAGCAGTACCTATCTATCTACTTGCACTTTGACGTGCTTTCGAACTGCTAGGTTGGCAGGAGTAAGGACCAAGCAATGGGAGCTCACCCCGTCACAGGGATTTGAACCGCCAACCTTCTGATTGGCAAGTCCTAGGCCCTGTGGTTTAACCCACAGCGGCACCCGCGTCCCTACACACACACACACACACACACACACACACATTGCTGTTTACAAATGCCCTATTTTCTTTAAGGATTTTTAAAAATGGTTATTTGCTGTTTTTATGACCAAGACTATTCACTCTTGTGGTTTTGATTTTGTCCCTGTTGTCTGTTTTGTTACTTGTATGTTACTGATAGCTGTCTTTTATTTCTCTTTTATTTTATTCCCCTCTGTGCAAATCTTGAACGAAAGACAAGTCATAATTTTCTAAAACCAAACCAAATCATCCATCCTATGAACATTTGCTTCCATTGACCTCGGTGGAATTCATTTTTGAGTAAACATGCGAATGATCAGCCTTCAATGCCCAATCCAGTTACTGTGTTTTTATTATACTGATCATTCCCAGCAGAGAAAGTGCATCTTAGCAGAGCTATGCTAATGACCTTTTTCCTTTCCCTTTTTTTTTTGCCTACACACTGTAATTACTTCCCACTTTCACTCATTTCTCGTTCTCCACATTTTATTTCATGGGCCATGTACAGTGTGCTGGGAATTGTAGCTCTGTGAGGGGTAAACTCCAATGCTTTAAACATATGGGGGGGTGCGGCCAAGGTCCCCGCCTTCCCACAAGAAGTTAGAATAGAAATAAAAGTGCTTCCTTTGATCAGGAAAGCCCTAAAGCCTCATCCTAAGCAGAGTTGCTTGGAAGGCCTCACTGAGTTACATGGGAATGACTCCCAAATAAATGCACACAGGATAACCATTCTGTGATAATTATCTCTGTGTGGGAAGATAGGAAGAGTTATCCAAATCTTGGAGACCTCAGCATCATCTTCTATGTTGCTTATTCCTGAGGGATGCTGCGAATGACAGCTTTATCTTCCAGCAGCAACTGTCTCTTTTGCACTGAGCTACCTCTGGGGAAGTATAAACTCCCTACTGTGGTAGTTGCAACATGAAATTGGCAATAAAGTGCTGGTGCCAGCACAAGTTAATAGACAGGAATAAATCTTCAGTGGAAAAGCTAATCCAACGAGTTAAGAGCGTCAATTTACTGGAAAGCAGGGGTCTTTTAAGGCCTGCGGTCTTAAAAGTAGCTTGGTCTGCTGAAATATTAAGGGCGAATGCTCCTCAGACATTGATAGGGCAGTCCAGGAGTCCCCCCCCCCTCGCAGGTGAATCCCACACATTTTATGTGTTCTGTGTCTTCAGGAGTAGATCAGATCATAAAGGGTTCCAGCAAGATGAGGCATCTGTGGCCCTTCAGATGTTGGTGGGCTAGAATCCCATCATCCCTGATTGCTGGCCATGTTGCCTGGGGCTGATGCAGGTCCAGTGGCGTAGTGTGGGTTGTCAGCACCCGGGGCAAGGCAAGTAATTTGCGCCCCCTAACCCGTGGGTTTGCGCCCCCTAACCCTAACCCCCAGATGTTGCGCCCGGTGCGCCCGGCCCCCCCTGCACCCCCCACGCTACGCCACTGTGCAGGTCAGAGTCCAATAACATCAGGAGGTCCACTGGTTTTCCATCTCTGGCTTACAGCTTTCACTGATATCTTCAGTGATACCTTCAGTGATACCTCAGTTGATTTTGAGGGGTGGTGTATGAGCACTGTGTTAGAGCAATTAACTTCTTGAAATAGCACTTTTCCAGTTTCCAAGCTTTGGGTCATTAATTTGAAGCGTGTTGTAATGTGACTTCTTTTAGTTGGGTGGGATCTAGAAGTCCTGCCTTTTATCTGTATAGCTGTGTTTCGGGGTTTTTACTCGGTTGTTCTTAATTGCTTTTAATGTAACTCACTTTGGGTCACTCTTTGAGAAAAGCAACTAACAAATATAATAAACCATAAGAATATGAATAAGAATAATAGAGGAACTGAGAAGTTGTCTGAGTTCACAGCTGTGCATGCATATTGTCTGTGTATTAGCTGGGTTAAGGCAACATATTCCCAAACTCTTCCCTAAATGAAGACTTGGGACTTTAAGGCAGGAATTGCTTAATGATGATGTATTTTCCTGAGTAGTATATTCTATATCTCACTTTACTACGCAGAACTGCACTGCCATCTACCGAAAAACAACAGCTCTAACCACCCACTCTTTTTGTTAAGCACGAGGGGGTTCACAAACAAGGGCAACTTCCAATTATTGTGCCAAGTGTGAGTGGCACTAATTAAATCAAACACCTGAGGGAATCGTCACATGGATGATGGAGAAAATTTGTTTTCCATTGCTCCAGAAGTAAGGACCCAAATTAACAAGATCAAATTACAAGAAATGGGATTTGGTCTAATAATCAGGAAGAACTTCTCAAGAGTGTGAGCTGTAGAACAAATTGACTCAGAAAGTGGCGGGATCTCTTTTGTTAGATGTTTTGAACCTGAAGCCGGATGCCTACCTATCAGGGGTGCTGTAACAGTGCATTCCCAACATTGGCAGGAGGTTAGACTTGATAACCCTTGATGCTCGTTTATGATTCTGTCTACTCAGAAGAAAATTCATGTGAGGGAGATGGAGAAGCTACAGAGATGAGTGCGCCAGAAGAGGTGCTAAGGTTTTCTTTCTTTTCCTCAGACTACCAATATTAAAGGGGAGAGAGGCTGAGAGCTGAGAGCTGCTGGGTGGACAAAAATAATAATAAAATAAATAAAATAAAAAGGTTCTGTCTCAGTGAGGCACCAGCTGTGAATGAGAGACCCAGAACCAAAAGAGAGACATAAACTGCAGAGATAAGATTGCAACAGTAAGGCCTTTTGGGAGGTGAGGTTTGAGCAGAAGCCTCCAACCCAGGAATTATGATAGAACCTGTGCCTAGAGAAAGGTGCAGTAGGGATAAGAAAGTATCAGGAGTGTCAGATGCTGCTGTGGTTGCTCGAGAGTAACCAGGCTAGACTCTGACCTGTCTTTTACAGGCTTTATTCTTGGTGCAAACTATTTACAGTGAAGAACGTCATAAGTTCATGTCTGGCTCAATCGCTAGCAGAATCCGGTCGGTTTTTGTACCTCCCCCAGCATAAAAGTTGCATCGCCCCCAGCCTTTCCCGCCTCTCCCTGCGCCGAAGACTACTGCACAGAATGGGCGCTGGCAAGGGCGTGCTTCCCGCCTCTCCGGTTTGTTCAGGCTCAGTGTTAAGGCTCTCCCTAGCATCCTCTGGTCCTTGCGCCTCTTCTCCACTGGAGGTGGGGCTTTCCTCCTCGCTGGAAGAGGAACTGCTTCGCAATATTTTCAGAGGCTCCCTATAACACAACTGCCCTTCCATCTCTCGCCTCTGAGCTGATGGCAGTTCCCTGACAAGGAGGTTTTGTTTTTATTAACAAGAAGACTGGGCAGGAAGTGAGTAGTTTTTTTGTTTGAAGGGGAACCTCCCAGGGAGACCTCGTAATGAAAAGCCACTGCTATTCCTGAAGTAAGGGAAGCAGACTGGATTCTGAGGGTGCCTGCTAAATCATAGCAACTCCTCTGAGTTCAATGTGGGTCACACCCTGGTAAGTGGTAGAGGATTGCAGCCTTAGACTTATTCAAAAATTCACATGCATTATCTTGGTAATCCACATGACAGACGCTGTCACTCTTAGCAATTCTGTTACATGTATATCATTTCTTAAGTAAGCGGCCTAGCCGGAGCAACTTGAACCTCCAAAGCAGACTTCTATTATTAGATCTGATTAATGTAGATTTCACAATATTTTGCATACATAACAAAGAACAGGATGCTTCATGAATTTCCTAGGTAGCTGCAGGCTGCACCAAAGTTAGTCGCTACGCCCTTGATAGTATCAGGTTACTATTTTTCCATTTCCTGCGTTGCATGTTCTTCTAGCTAGCAACATATGGGCTAAGATGACTTGATAAAAGCCCTGACGTAAAATCAAGGAAAATAACACCAGGGTGCATCTAGATAAAGGGAACAGGAAATTATGAGCTGTACACTTGTGGTCCCCCATGCTGTTTCAGAAGTAGCACAAGACAGTTTGTTTCGGCGACAAAGGGCTTATCCACATAATGTGGATTTGAAGCTGCTTGTGCCTCAATGTGTCTGGCATTGTATGACATCTTTCCCATTGACCTGGCAGCCAGGAATTTGGCCATGCCAAGCTATCAATGGTGGTTTCTTTCTCTTGTGCACTAATAGGGAAGCGCACTGGTGTGTTGAAATCAGTGGTTGAGAGTGGTGTCTACATGGTAAATCATTAACTATGGTTTACTGCATCAAGTGAATAATACCATTATTTCTAGCCCCCTCTCAACATATTGGCCTATGAGCAGCAGAGTTCAGTTTAAGCTTCTATTTCCCCTAATTTATCCTCCCTTAAGGTTTCCTTTCCCACTTATGGTTCTGTTTTCTGGGCCCGTGACATTTTGACCGTACAGTCATATTTCAGGTTACAGACGCTTCAGGTTGCATTTTTTCGGGTTACGGACCCACAGAAACCAGGAAGTACCGGAATGGGTTACTTCTGGGCTTCGGTAGTCGCGCATGCGCAGAAGCGCTAAATCGCACTTTGCGCATGCGCAGAAACACCGAATCGCAACCTGCACGTGCGCAGACGTGCTGCTGCGGGTTGCAAACACTGTGGGTTGCGAACGTGCATCCCACATGGATCACGTTCGCAACCCGAGCGTCCACTGTACAATGAAGAGCAGTTTCTAACTTAAAACAGAAAGCAATAGAATGATCTAGAACAGCCTTCCTGTGCACAGAATACATTTTATTTTATAATAAATTAAACTTTCACCCAGACTTTTTTAAAAAAGCAACCATGCCAATGTGGAAATATGGCAAACTAAATTTGATGAAGGGGGCGGGGAGAGAGAGAAGCCAAACTTTACCACTTCATTCATTTCAAACTCCCACTCCAAGTATCTTTTGCCAGGGTAAAGCAGCTGCCTTAGATATTGGGGGGATGGGGAGTGGTACCAAGATGTTGGAGAACAGAGTTGTGCATACTCCTGCCCTTAGGTGTGGTGGAAGACAGTGACCCAACGCCAGTGATGAAGTAAGATTCAGCTGGGAGTCCAGTCAGCTTCTGGTTTGGGATGAGGACACCATCTTATTCTTTTCTTCAGGCACAAAAAGGCTGGTCCTTTTCACTCACACAGCCAGGGGCCGATGAGACTTGAAGTCCAACAACTTACAGAGGGCCACAGCGCCCACCCCATTCCTGTATCGCTGCTCTATAGCACAGTTTCTGATTTCAGAACCATCATGGCTTTGTCCTGTGAACTACTGGAAATGGCAACCTTTTGTGAAAGTTGTGCATCTCTTCGGCTCTCAGAAGAGCCGCACTTGAGCATGTTCCAAATATCCATTCTTCCAGTTTCACTCACGAAGCAGTAGAGAATTGGGTCAGCTATACAGTTCAAACTCGTCAGTGCAGTTGTAATCCTGTAAGGTATAAACATCCTCTGAGCAGCGTCACAGCCACAGCCACAGTCACACTCACATGGCTCAACGATACTGCGAATGAACAGAACGACATGATATGGAGTGAAGCACAAAAAGAAAGTGACGACGATGCTCAACAATAAGTGGTTGATTTTCCTCTTGTCCCTGTTTCGGGTTGCTTGATTGTTCTTCACGGCTCCGTATATTTTCTGGTAGCAGAAGACCATAATGGCCAGTGGGATTGCATACCCCACAACCACACGGTAAAAGTTCAATTGGGCCTGCCAGTTTACTAGAGGGTATGTATCATAACAAAATGTATGGTTTGTGGATAGAAAAGTTTCATTAAATATGTCTTCGTTCTTTAAAACCTGATAGTTGGACATGATTTCGAAGGCCCAGACAAAGATAGAGGCAAGCAAGGCAAATCTTCTTGTACGCAAATAATGGAACCTCAATGGATAGACTACAGCTAAGTATCTATCAATGGAAATGCAGGTGAGAAATGCTGAGCTGGTGTAATAATTCAGGTACTTAAGGAAAACAGAAAAAGTGCAAAGTTGCTGGGAAAGGTCCCAGTTATCCCCATTCTGAGCATAATAAATCCATAGAGGCAGGGTCAAAGTGTAAAGCAGGTCAGCTAAAGCTAAACTTAAAAGATAGATGCCCAGCTCATTTTTTTGCTTTATTTGGCTATAGGATATATAAAGGGATGCAGAGTTGGCAGGAATGCTGATAATAATCAAAATGCTGTAGAGAACAGGAAACAAATGTTGATCTAGTTCGTAAGTTACAAGACAAGTTGTTTCATTGCATAATGATTTATTACAGGCCATTCTTTCCATTAAGACCAGATCACTCCAGATCGAAGGGATATGATGCCAAAAATTACTAGTTGTCCCAATCCAATTTTGGGTCACAGAAGAGCAGATAATAGGTTCTTATGGTCCAGATTGTCAACCTTCACCAAAATGCAATTCACTGTGTTTTGTTTTTGTTTCTTTGCTGCAAAGGAGAGAAAGAAAAGATGCAATTAGATGGTTTGTTTAGTTACTCTGATCGAGACAATTGTCAATGATGCTCAAAGCAAAAAACAGTAGTAAAAGGATGGAGATGATTAAAGGTACTGCTGTACATCTGTCATTTTGGGTGGCTTTAGGGTCTCTTTCCCTCTTTTAAAATTCTGAAAGGAAGGAAAACTGAGCAATGAAGGACCATCTAGAAGGAATGGCTCATGTCCAGAACAATCTCTGAGGGAGAAAATATCACAGCACAGATTAGAATAGCTACAAAGAAGTACAAAAAGGGAGCCAATGTAGTTAAATTGCAGGATCACTTGCTGAAAGAAGAAAAATAAAAAGACCACAAACTGTAGTGAACTCTGATAAGGTAAGCAAAGGAAGAATGTGTGAAGCAAATTCCGAAAAGCAGAAAAGCAAACATTTATTTAAATGCACCATTAGCAAGAATCCACCCAATGAGACGGAACAAGGTCTAGACAAAGAAAAAATGTGGGGGGATTAAAATACCTGAGGGAGGACAGAGAGGTCACAGAGAAGGTAGATAAATTCTTTGCATTGGTCTTTACTGTGGAACCATAGATTTGTAGAGTTGGAAGGGACCACAAGTCCAACCCCTGCAATGCAGGAATCTCAAGTGAAGCATCCATGACAGATGGCCATCTAACCTCTGCTAAAAACCTCCAAGGAAGGAGAGTCCGTAACCTCCTGAGGGAGATTGTTTCCATGTCGAACAGCTCTTGCTGTCAGAAAGTTTTCCCTGATGTTTATTTGGAATCTCCTTTCTTGTAACTTGAAGCCATTGGTTTAAGTCCTACCCTTTAGAGCAGGAGAAAACAAGCTTGTTTCCTCTACCATGTGGCGGCTCTTCAGATATTTGAAGATGAACATCATATCTCCTCTTTTCCAGGCTAAACATACCCAGCTCCTTCAACCATAAAGCTTGATTTCCAGACCCTTGATCATCTTGGTTGCCCTCCTTGGCACACACTCTTGTCAACATCCTTCCTAAATTGTGGTGCTCAGACTTGGACACAGTATTCCAGGTGTGGTCTGACCAAGGCAGAATAGAGTGGGACTATTATTTCCCTTGATCTGGACACTATATTTCAGTATAAGGCAAGTTTCTGTCTTCCTATATAACACAACATTTGGTTCAGATGACATTCATTCAAGAGTTCACCAAAAATACACTAAAAAGAAGAAGTACAGAATATGAAACAACATGGCTTAGTATGAATGAGTGAGTGAGGGCACTCTCTCATTCTGCAGCTTTGTTGCACTGAGGTAAAGCCATAGTTTGGCCCAGCATTTTGTCCAAACCCAAGTTCATATGTGGTTTGCCCAGATAAGCTCATACCTTAGATCTGGGCAAACCACGAGCCACTGGTTGTTTGGAATTGGGCTGGGGGAGAAATTTGCATTTGCTGGTGAACCAACCTAATTCACGCTTCTGAAATAGGAGCATGGGCAAAACACAGCCATCCTTCAAAATTCACACTTCTCTGTATTTTACAATGCAGTTTTCCAGCCAAGTAATGTTTACTAAACGAAATGCATTTACTAGAGTAAGGTGTGCATAAACATGCATATATCCCTGAAAACAGCATATAGAAATGAATTATAGAACAGGAAAATGCTTTGCAGAAATGTGTTTATTAGGCAAAATTGCAAGCAAATATTTGTATTAGGAGAAATTCTTACTAAAATGCTGCTAAATTTTCATGAGGATAGAAATGCGGAGAACTAAAGTTAAGAGGAGGGTGGAATGAGGAACTGAGAGAAACTGAAATTGACAGATTTGCCCATCTCTAGACTGGAGAGTGCTAAACCACAATCTAAGGTTTGCACGACATGCTAAGCCAAAGAAGCCTCTGTGTGAGAGAGGCAGGGCTGGAGCAATGGTGCTCGCTATACACTAGTAATGTGAGACATTAATGGGAGTGGATATATGTCATTTGATCAGCGTTGTAGACCCTAGCCAATAAGCGCTTTGACCTTCAAGAATCCACACTGCACACTTGCTAAAATAAATGTAGTAGCAGGAGGGTGGGTGGGGGAGGAAGGTCACTTTCCAAGCTAATCTGTATGGATTTGTGTTTGGGGGGAAATAACTGTAGGAAGAGAATTATGACTATTATATTTATTTATATCCTGCCTTTTTCCCAGCCTGAGACTCAAGGCGGCTTACACAGATGAAACAGAACAAGCTAAAAACACAGAAAAGACTATCATTAAAATGTAGTTAAACACTAATAGAATTAAAATAATATACAAAGATCCATTAAAAACAAAGACAATAACAATAAAAAAAACCCACAGCAACAGCCTTTTCCTTTAAAAGAGTCAGTTCACAAAGGCCTTTTGAAATAGAAAAGGACAGAAGGACAGAAAGGAGGGAGCCGGTCTAACTTTTTCAGGAAGGGAGTTCCAAAGCCTGGGAGCAGCCAGCAAGAAGCATTTGTCTGGGTTCCTGCTGATACCTTTGCAACAATTGCACTCTCCAAGTGCAGAAATACTTTTGTTTGGAAGCAGCTTTGAAATTGCTAGTCCTACTCAGAGTAGACCCATGGAGAGGCACAAACCTTAATTATTCAGGTCCATTAACTTCAGCGGGTCTGTTCTGAGCAGGACTAGCACAGGATACAACCCTGGAGGTTTTTTTTAGAGTTATAAACTGGTTCATAATACAGTGGTGCCTCGCAAGACGAAAAGAATCCGTTCCGCGAGTCTCTTCGTCTTGCGGTTTTTTCGTCTTGCGAAGCAAGCCCATTAGCGGCTTAGCGGATCAGCTGATAAGCGGCTTAGCGGATCAGCTGATAAGCGGCTTAGCGGATCAGCTGATAAGCGGCTTAGCGATCAGCTGTTAAGCGGCTTAGCGGCTCAGCTGATAAGCGGCTTAGCGGCTTGGGAAAAAGGGGGGGGGAGGAAAAACCCCCTGCAGGAACTCGCAAGACATTTTCGTCTTGCGAAGCAAGCCCATAGGAAATTCGTTTTGCGAAGCACCTCCAAAACGGAAAACCCTTTCGTCTAGTGGGTTTTCCGTCTTGCGAGGCATTCGTCTTGCAGGGCACCACTGTAATTGCACTTGTGAAGTTGTTCTCCAGGACACACGCATATTATTGCAGGCTTCTGAAGCAGGGGGTATTAGTTAACTGGCCATTACAGAGAGCAGCTCTAACAGTGGTGTAACGTGGGCTTCCAGTGCCCAGGACCGCATGGAGGGGTAGGAGGGAAACAGATCAAGTACTCGTGCACATTCAACTGCCTAACGGCATCCGCATCACCCAGGAGATCACAGCCACAGAAATAAGAAAAGAAGAGTCATTCTGTTGTCTGGAAAGGTCACTTCCTGGTTCGTATGGAGAAGCCATTTTCAATGGAGCCCAGCAACGGAAACCCACAGCTGTATTGAGGTGGCACCAGGTGTTGAAATTTTTGTGCCCCTAACAATTTTGCACCTGGGGCAACCAGCCTTGTGCTATGCCACTGAATTCTAAACAGGTGTACTTAGAAGAAAATCCCACTAAGTGTGTTTAAGACTTCAGTCATAAAACGGAGCTCAGAATAGGGGTAGTTTTGCCGAAGAACACAAGGAGAGCCTCCTTGTTCAGGCCAATGGCCCATCGAGTTCAACATCCATTTCTCACAGTGGCAAATCCGATGCTTATGGGAGCCCTGAAAGCAGGGCTTGAGTGCAACAAGACTTTACTCACTTGTGATTCCCATCAACTGGTATTCGAAGGAGGATGAATATGCCCATCAATGATAGCCTTATCCTCCATGAATTTGTCAAATCCATAAACTCATATACTTAGAATTGTAGAGTTGGAAAGGACCATAAGGGTCATCTAGTCCAACCCCCTGCAATGCAGGAATTTTTTGTCCAATATGGGGCTCAAACCCACGACACTGAGATTAAGGGTCTCTTTTTATAACAATTTTAATTGAATTTTCAAACAATTAACATATATACTTCAATAAATAACAATTTTGTCTTTGCTTGACTTCCCACCCCATTTCCCATGGTGTTTTAGTTTATCCCTCTCTGCTGCACATTGCATGAGATTAAGAGTCTCATGCTCTACTGACTGAGCTATCTTCTTTGAAAGCTGTCCGTGTTGATGGCCATCAGTCTATTGCAGAATACTTGGAACTCAGAGAAGATTCAGCAACATTTCCTATCTATAGAAGCACTCTCTCTATCTCTCTGCCAATACAGTGGTATTTGAATGCACTCAGAGATAAAAGGGATGATCGAGACCTGATTGAGAGATAAAGGGGACGATCGAGAACTCTTGTTGCACTTTTGTGTGAGTGCACGCTTGCATGCACACACTAAGGACAAAGGCATTTTCTGAAAGAGAGGACGGAGATTTACCAGGGACAGATTCCAGAAAGGGGAAAAAGAAGAAGAAGAGTTTGGGTTTGATATCCCGCTTTATCACTACCCGAAGGAGTCTCAAAGCAGCTAACATTCTCCTTTCCCTTCCTCCCCCACAACAAACACTCTGTGAGGTGAGTGGGGCTGAGAGACTTCAGAGAAGTGTGACTAGCCCAAGGTCACCCAGCAGCTGCATGTGGAGGAGCAGAGACGCGAACCCGGTTCACTGGATTACGAGTCCACCGTTCTTAACCACTACACCACACTGACAATTGGACAATTGGAGCACATGGCCGCAACCTTTTACAAAGCTGTTCTTTATTAATCCCCCCCTTAGATGCTAGCTGCCCTCCACTGGCTTCCGAAACAGTTTAGTGGAGGGATCCAACAATTTATTTATTTTTTTATTTCATAAAATTTATATACTTCTTGATTGTAAAAAGGACCGTGGAGCAGGTTTGACCCACCCACATCAACACAGGGCACAGGGAGGGGGGGAAAAGAAAAGAAAGCCAAGGGTGCACCTTGTGTTACATTCACTGACGGCCGCTGGCCAATCTATCCATACAATGCTCCAAAGCCTGGGCCAGAAAAACATTACTGATCTTTGTTTGTATATAGTTTTTAGAAGTTACAGGTCAATGTATTTTGAAACAGTTTATGTCATTGTCTGTCAAGAGGAAACCTCTTGTGTCACCCTTAGTTTGATGACATAGATGCCAAATCCCTGGGGCGCTGCGTGCCCAAACACCCACAAAATTCCCCATGAAAGTGCTGGGCACCCATAAATTTCAGTGTCAGGGCCATGCACGCTGTATGGCACCCACAGTCAAAGGCCCAAGCTGGCACTGCTGTTTGATGATCTCGAACAGATCTCGTAGTTTCAGCCTTTATACCTAGCCTGAAACCTGTATTTCTAATTAAAACCACTCAGCAGCAGACCATATTTCGTACCAATATAAGAGAGTCTGTTAGTATTTTGTAAGAATTAGGACTTACCTTACTTCAGTTGTGACCTGCTCTGCTGGTTTGTTTTAGTTACTTTAGACACTTCAGCCTCAGAAGACAATGTGCTCTAATGAGAACCATTTCTCATGCAGAGACAGGAAATTGCTAGAGTAGTCTGCTTTGAGAGGTTAGGAAAAAGAGGAAACAACTTTGAAGTTGCTGGTGGTGATGGGAGGAAACCATGGTTTCTTTTCTGCCCACATGATCTGGAGCTTAAATCTTTTCACACTAATACTATTTGTACAGGGAAAGGGGCCATACGGTTCACCAAGTCTTTACCTTACCAAAGAGGGAACACTAAAAGGATTACTATAGGGTTGGAGAGTCAGTCTGGATGATATTTGTGGGGGTCTCTTCAAGGTCTGTGATGTTCTCTGTGAGAGGTAAAAACCTGCAAGAGAAAATCTGCTGAACCAGCCAGAGCAGTCTCTCTCTTAGGTGCTCTCACCAACATCTCAAAGAGTGAGTTACGTTGCCATAGTGACAACTAAGTGATGGTCCTGTCCAGGAAGAGGACACATATTTCCTCATCTCCGTCATCTTAGGAAAACCATAACAGACCAAGGGGATATCTCTGTGTGAGAGAGTTTGGACTGATGGTGTAATCTGGAGAGACAAAGACATGTGTTTGTGCTTCCTTGGAAGCCTAATGGGGAAGTAAAGACACCACAATTTCCACTGCTCATCATTCCAAGGAAACCAAACCCTGGGAAAGCACAGGTACTCCTGGAGTCACTCCTTGAAGACTGGGATGTGTAATATAACAATAATAATTTATTATTTGTACTCCACCCATCTGGCTGAGTTTCCCCAGCCACTCTGGGCGGCTTCCAACAAAGATTAAAAATACATTAAAATGTCACACATTAAAAACTTCCCTGAATGTCTTCTGAATGTCAGGTAGTTGTTTATCTCTTTGACATCTGGTGGGAGGGTGTTCCACAGGGCGGGCACCACTACTGAGAAGGCCTTCTGCCTGGTTCCCTGTAGCTTTGCTTCTCGCAGCGAGGGAACCACCAGAAGGCCCTCGGCGCTGGATCTCAGTGTCCGGGCAGAACGATGGGCGTGGAGACGCTCCTTCAGGTATACTGGGCTGAGGCCGTTTAGGGCTTTAAAGGTCAACACCAACACTTTGAATTGTGCTCGGAAACGTACTGGGAGCCAATGTAGGTCTTTAAAGACCGGTGTTATGTGGTATTGGCAGCCGCCCCCAGTCACCAGTCTAGCTGCCACATTCTGGATTAGTTGTAGTTTCCGGGTCACCTTCAAAGGTAGCCCCACGTAGAGCGCATTGCAGTAGTCCAAGTGGGAGATACGTAACTACAGCATGCACCACTCAGGCGAGACAGTCTGTGGGCAAGTACACTCTCAGCTTGTGTACCATATGGAGCTGGTAGACAGCTTCCCTGGATACAGAATTGACCTGTGCCTCCATAGACAGCTGTGAGTCCAAAATGACACCTCAACAATATTCTAGGTTTCACTTACTTAGGGGGGAAACATTGCACAGCTTAGGCTCTGCAATGAGATTTATCATATATTTATATACATATATGAAGCTCCTTTATTGCCACTGATTTTCACTTGACAATAAGTTAACTCTCAATTTTTTAACAAATCTGTTTCTCAGAAGAGATTATTTCATAGCTGGCTGACAAATGAACATATCCTCCTTGACCACAATCCAAGACAGACCTGGGTGTGTTTAATACCATTAGAATCAATAGGTGGCATTCACCTACATTTTTTTGTGATAGTGCAAGGGAATTTCCCTCCTCTCCTCTGCCCCACACCATCTCCAAATGTGCTCTGGAGGGCAAATTTAGGGGGTGCATAGGAAGAAAGAGAGAGGGAGATAGTTTCCTTGCACAAGGAAAAAAACTTTGAGTTGACAATCTGATTAAGATAATTGCATCTTCTGCCTCTTTAACAGCGTCTTGGTTTGTGGATTTGGGCAGAAGTGTCTCATTTCTGCTTAACAAAATTCCTCCCAACATTTCATGTTGCATGAAAGCAGAAGCTGCTATTTACCATATTTTCCATTACATCTGGCTTTGGAAATGAGAAATGAAACTCTGAATCAAAAAGGTCTTTCAGTGGCACAGGATATTGCAGGGGAGGGTTTCTGTTCCATTTGCTTCACCCCTCCCAATTTTTCCTTTATTGGAGGTTTTAAAGCAGAGGTTGGATGGTCATCTGATACGAATGCTTTAGTTGAGATTCCTGCATTTCAGGGGGTTGTACTAGATGACCCTTGGAGTTCCACCGAACTCATTCCATGATTCTGCTACTTAGGCTTGCCTGACTCATCCTTGATTTGCAAGATACAAGGCACAAACCATTTGCTGTAGTAGATTAGAAGCAATTATCTACCCAGTTTTGACACATTGTCAATGTATGACTTCAGGTAAACTCATCGACCCATTTGCCTTGGTAAAAGCGGAAGCTTGATTTGTACATTAGTCAACACCTTTGTCTGTCTAATCAATGAATCTGTCTAATGAGGATAAGGAAAAGCATTGAAAAGCGAGCACAGCCTCTGGGCAAAAGTATTGATACTGGGATGGAGACCAAAAAGGATTACCAATCTTACAAAGACAGGCTTGGAGACAGAGCCTAGGAGGGGCGAAAGAACAGAACAAAGTGCAGGGCAGGGAGAAGGCCAAAGCTCTCAATTTTGGTTTCTATTTCTCATTTTTCTCCTCTTAAGCTTAGCTCTCCACATGTCCACACCCGATTCAGGGTCTTTCTCTCTCTCCTAATTCAAAGTTTCTATGTGGGTTGGCCTAATACACATGTTTTTGCAAAGCATATTTTCTCTGATGTTTATATTTTTCTTATTTGAATGCATTTTTCTATGTTACTTTCATAGGGACATAGGAAGCTGCCGTATACAGACTCAGACCCATTGATCTATCTAGCTCACTATTGTCTACACTGACTGCCAACAGATCTCCAGGGTTACAGGAATGGATCTCTTCCAGCCCTACCTGGAGACACCAGGGATTGAACCTGGGATCTTCTACATGAAAGGCAGATGCTCTGCCACTGAGCTATGGCCCTTCCCAAGAGCTATTCCACTCCCCTTGCAAATTTTCAGAAATATATGCATTTTTATGTACTCTTTACATTTGCTTATTCATTTTTGTGCATATTACTTGGCTGGAAAACTGCACTGCAAAATTCAGAGAAGTGTGAATCTTGAAGGATGGCTGGGTTTCAGTTTGCACATTTTGGAAAGTACAAATTAGGTAGATTCACATTAAAATGCAAACTGAATCAAATTTCCGATCTTCTGGAGAACACCATGTTGGCTATCCCAGACTTGTGCAAAATTCACAGAGTAATGCATACCGATAAATTGATCACCCTGTGATGATTCAAACACAATAGTTCCCAGTCTCACTTTCCCAAGAGATACTCAACTTTTGATTGGCATACATGTTGCAAGCCACGTATGATTCATGACTCCATGTTTCATGACTGTGTGCAATCCTAAGTATTTATACTATATATTTAGCATCACAATGACACTTAGGTGACTGTACACACCTGTAATTTAAAATAACGAGCTTAGGCTTCAACATTCAACAGCTGGAATGTACATCAATTAGCAGAAGCATTGCATAAAAACAAAACAAAACAAAAACAAACCATCAAGCCTTGATCTGTTATGTTTTAATTGATTTTTGCCTGAATACAAAACAATGAATGAATCAACAAACACTGTAGTGGTGAACTCAGAGCAGAGTCAATACATTTATACCATAACAAATAAATAATGTGAATATAGTACATTAAGATTGTTGCAAATTCCCACGCCATGGAGAAACCTGGTTGGCTTATGGAGTACGTGTTTGTGTACTCACATAGCTAATGAAAAGAAACCAGGTTGCATCAGATTAACCAAATCTTGATGTTTAAGCTCACAATGAATATGGTTCTACTTTTCTGTGCTGGCTCCATGTTTTGGGGATCTCTAGTGCAAGATGTTTGGCGGGTGTGCTGAATTTTTCAATTCTCAAATTCTGAACATGTGGGGTACTAAGAGGTTGTAACATGACTTGGGAATTCAAAATATATTTGGGTTGAATTCACATGATTTAGTTTGCATGGTAAATAAAATGTAACGTTGCATAGAAATGATTAAAAATGATTGCCAAGTACTTGCAGTTATATTATAGTGTATATATTTATTTTATCTATATAGTATACATATTTTATATTTCCTGACACTTTCAGAAGGTAAAATTAAAATTATTTGGTTTCCCCCAGTTTATTCTGTAGACCAGTGGGAGGGGTTGAGACCTTTAGAACAGTAGTATACACTTGTTCACACTAATAATATTTTTTGGGAGGTGGGGGGATTCCCATCATCTCCCTAAAAGAGAAAACAGGATTACTTCCAAGTAAATGTGCACAGGATCAGGCTATAATCCTATGCACACTTCCTTAGCGAGCAAGCCCCACTGAACAAGATGGGGGACACCTGGCTTGAGAGCAGTACATGTGAAAAGGATCTAGGAGTCTTGGTTGACCACAAACTTGACATGAGCCAACAGTGTGACGCGGCAGCTAAAAAAGCCAATGCAATTCTGGGCTGCATCAATAGGAGTATAGCATCTAGATCAAGGGAAGTAATAGTGCCACTGTATTCTGCTCTGGTCAGACCTCACCTGGAGTACTGTGTCCAGTTCTGGGCACCACAGTTCAAGAGGGACACTGAAAAACTGGAACGTGTCCAGAGGAGGGCAACCAAAATGGTCAAAGGCCTGGAAACGATGCCTTATGAGGAACGGCTAAGGGAGCTGGGCATGTTTAGCCTGGAGAAGAGGAGGTTAAGGGGTGATATGATAGCCATGTTCAAATACATAAAAGGATGTCACATAGAGGAGGGAGAAAGGTTGTTTTCTGCTGCTCCAGAGAAGCGGACACGGAGCAATGGATCCAAACTACAAGAAAGAAGATTCCACCTAAACATTAGGAAGAACTTCCTGACAGTAAGAGCTGTTCGACAGTGGAATTTGCTGCCAAGGAGTGTGGTGGAGTCTCCTTCTTTGGAGGTCTTTAAGCAGAGGCTTGACAACCATATGTCAGGAGTGCTCTGATGGTGTTTCCTGCTTGGCAGGGGGTTGGACTCGATGGCCCTTGTGGTCTCTTCCAACTCTATGATTCTATGAACTCAAGCCTTCTTTTAACGTTACCAGGACTAGGGCTAGGGAGACCTGAGCTGAAATCACACAGGCCACGAAGCTCAAGTCCTTTGTCAGGCTAGTTAGCCTAATCCTACCTCACAGAATTGTTGGGAGAAGACGGGAGGGCAGTGGTGGTGGTAGGTGTGTGTGTGCGCGTGCAGAAAAGAAAAGAACCCAGAGCTTCTTATTTGCATTTCAGTCGTGCATTTTATTGCCATTTATACGGATATAGTTTCAAACGGGATGAGGGGCGTCGCGTGTTCAGATCCCGGCATTGCAGGGAGTAGGGTCCCTTGCAAATCCGCAGTTCTAGAATTCACTGCCCCAACTCCTCATCTCGTCCTCACAACAACCCTGCGAGGTAGGTGGAGGTTGACAACCCACGAAGGACACCCAGCCAGCTTCTTGGAGGGAGGGCGAGCTCTACACGTGGCAGCTTCTTGGAGGGAGGGCGAGCTCTACACGTGGGTAAGTAAAGTTAAATCGCCGTGGGCTGCTAGACAGCCAAAAAAGAGCCTACAGCGCTCAATCCTCCTCCTTGCAGCAACCCCCCCCCAACTTCAAAAGTCACCCAGCGTCTACAAGACAGTCCTCGTCACGTGACTGCAATGACGCGGCGGGAACGTCATCGGAGGTGACGGGGGGGGCAGCCGCGGCGGCCGAGAATGGGATTCCGCGGTACGCGCGAAAAACCTCCCTTCTCTTTTCGCAGAACCACAACAACGGCGACGCAGCCGAAGTCAGGTGACCTCGCGCCACGTGACCGTGCTCGGGTGTGGGGGAGTGGAGGCCTCGCGGCGTGGCTGACAGGATTTATGACAGGAGCCGGGAGGCGGCAGAGCAGCGCTGAGGCGACGCGGCTGCTCCTTTGTGCAGAGGCTGGAAGCGCGGCAGCCCCGCCGGCCGGTCGTTCATTCATTCATTCGTTCACCCGGCCAGGCTCGTCCCGTCCCGCCCTGTCCCCGGCTCAGCGCAGCGTGCGAGGATGACCTGGGCGCTGTGGGGCTTCGCGCTGCTGGGCTGCAGCCTGGCCTCGGCCAGCGGCGTTTACCGGCTGGACGACGCGCTGGGGCTCGCCTCGGAGTTTGACGGCATCGGCGCCCTCAGCGGAGGCGGGGTAGGTTGGGCGGCGGGTGCTGCCGCTACCCCCGGGGGCAGGTGGGGAGGTGTCTGTAGGCGCCTCACCCCGGTCCATGAGGGTCCATGCGCGGGAAATGCTTGTGTGTGTGTGTTGATGGATCCTATAGAACTGCAGAGTTGGAAGGGACCCCCAAGGGTCATCCAGCACAAAATAATAATAATAATAATAATAATAATAATAATAATAATAATAATAGTTATACCCCGCCCAGCTGGCTGGGTTTCCCCAGCCACTCTGGGTGGCTTTCAACAGAATATTAAAATACAATAATCTCTTAAACATTAAAAGCTTCTCTAAACAGGGCTGCCCCTTGCAGGAATCTCAGCTATAAAGCATCCAGGGCAGCTGGCCACCCAACCTCTGCTTAAAACGGTTCCTTGTGTATCTGTTTCCTTTGTAACACAACCCCAGCCTCCAATAAAAACTAATTCAAACAAAAACACCCTCCGTGCAAGGAGGGAGACGGTTCCGCAGTCCAACAGCTCTTCTGGTCAGGAAGTTCTTCCTGATGTTTATTCGGGAGGGTTATTGTTCCAGTCCGTTGCTATATTACACATTTTTGGTTTTTGGTTTTATATTATGAACCGCTTTGTGATCCTCGGCCGATGGGCGGTATATAAATTTGATAACTAATTAACAGAGGTGTACTTAGGGGGTTGGTGAAACTGGCCTCCGGTTTGGGGTGCAAGCCCAAGTGTGTGTGTGTGCAACAATCACCTGTCAGATTATGGAGCGTATGATTTTTACATTTTACAGTATAGAGATATAAACAGTAACTCCAGAATTTTTCTTTTTTTCTCTTCTAGGCTACTTCCCGGCTTTTGGTGAATTACCCAGAACCTTATCGCTCTCAGATTTTGGATTATCTTTTTAAGGTAAGTGCGGCATTGCTGTTCTTGTAGACTTTGACCAAGGGCAGTCATTGAATCAACCTCTTTTTGACCTTTTTTTGTTTCTTTTAAGAAATGTTTTAGCCGTCCAGCCTTGTTAGCTATCCTAGGGTGTGTTGCATTATAAAACATCACATAAAAATAGTCGAACCAGAGCACATAAAATGCATCATCAAAATTCCATATAGGTGTTTCTATCCTGGGTGTCAACTGACTTTCTCGACCTCTCCAAGTTGATGGAACAAATATGTCTTTAGTTGGCACTAAAAAGAAAGTAAGGCGGATCTCAGCCATACTTGTGAGGAAGGGTGTTTCATAACTGATGTGGCACTTAGTGCTCTGGCAGCAACATTCTGGACTGCTTTCAGGGGCTGCTCCATGTGTTAATGTGCTGACAGGTATTCTTTACCGTACTTAGATTTTTATAAAACCTGTATGCAGTGCTTGATATCATGACCCAAACCTTATCAGTGCATTAATATCAACTGATATTTTTTTTTGCCATGGTGTATGCTTGATGTTTGCTTTATACATCTGGCAAATAAGATGTAAGAATTTGAGCTAGGAGGTTTTTATTATTCTCACCCCCCCCCCGCCCTGCTGCTTACTGTTGTGTTTATTGACATTGATAACACTAGTCAAATAGCTTGTGGAAGCTTAGTGGCTGCTTAAATGTGACAAAGTGCTGTAAATTCATGTTGCAGTTGGGCTTGTAAATATTCTCAAGACAGGACCATCAGCGAAGCCTCAAACTCTCACTCCGTGAAACTAAGATGTACTGCTTTTCATTTCAACATTAAGAATGTTGACGAAAGACTGCAGTTCAGAATAGAATGT